CTGAGCAGACAGACGGAGGGACGGATGGGTGCTCATAGAAAAAGGAACCTCACTACAGTTTATTGTGGCGGCGGGCGGGCCCGGCCGGGGTTACATTCAGCTCTACTGCTGTCCGGTTAGCGGGGTGCGTGAACATGCGGCAGCAGGGCGGGGGTCCCGCTGCCCGCCGGGGCCGCCGGCGGGGCGGGGGCGCGGGCGCGAGGGACCCCCGCCCGTGGCAGCCCCACCGGGGCGGGGGGCGGCCGGAGCCGGGGCCCCCTGCGCACACACCGAAGGCAGAGGGGTGAGGGTTAGCACCAGAAACGGGGGCCCGGGGGGTACCGAGCCCGGCCACCTCCCGCCGGGGCGTGGGCAGCAGGGTGGGGGACCCCCGTCAGCAACGCCGAATGCCGGGGGGACCCCGCGGCCGCTCCGAGCCGACGGCGCGGGAGAGGCGCAGGGCCCAGCGCGGGGATGCCCGGCCGGACCCGCAGCCCCGGGCACTCGGGGGTCGGGATCCCCCCGCGCTGCCCGGTGGAGCCGCGGGGAAGGGGACCAGCGCCCGGGGGCTTGGAGGGTGTCGGGGGGGTACTTGCATATCCGCCGGGGCCAGTCCCGGCGGGCTCGGTGACGGACAGACAGCTCAGCCCCGCTCGGGGAGCCGCAGCGCCGGGCCGGAGCCCCGCGGGGCGCACGGCCGCGGCTTCGCCGTCCTCCGGCCTCGGGGAGGAGGGTCCTGAGTGGGGCCGGCCGAGGGGGCTGGCGCAGGGCGGGCGCGGGGGTCAGCGGCAGGGGCTGCAGCGCTCCGGGGGGGACCCTTCGGGCGGCTCTGCGAGGGCACGGAGGGGCTGGAGTGGGGAGTTCTCCCGCAGCAGCTCCGGCGCGCCGGGGGCCGGCGGACAGCCCCGCTGCCCTGCCCCGCACCGCACACCCGCTCCGGCCCCCTGAGCCCCCCAACCCCCAGCCCCCCAGGGCGGCACAGCGCTCACCTGGGAGTGCCACAGCCAGGCTTTCCTCGGCAGCGCTGAACTGCAGCTCGGCTCCGTCGGGCAGCCCCGAGCCGCGGGAGCGCGGACACCGATCCCCGGAGCGCGTCCTCCGCAGCACCGACTGGGGGGGGGGGACAGGGTCAGTGCCTGGGGCGGGTGGGGGAACTTCTGGAGGGGTTCACAGCCCTCACCTTCCTGGCCAGGGGGCTGCTGGGAGCCGAGGCGCTGCTGTAGAGGCTGAGGCTGGAGTTGGAGCGGCTCGGGGACAGCACTTTGGAGGAGGCGGCCGACTGGTTCCCCGCACACCTGGCGGCGGTCCCGAAACCGTCCGGGGACAGGTACTTCTCGTTGATCTTCAGGTTGGTCCTTCCCTTCACTGGGGACGACGGAGGCAGTGAGGGGGCTGGCGATGGGGTCCCGGCGGTGCAAGACCGTGGGGAGCCCCATTGGCTGCACCCCCACATGGCCCCCACTGACCCACTTGGCCCCACAGGCGCAGGGAACAGGGACTCCACTGCACCAGTGCCCGGGGTGGGACCCCCACACCCACCTCTGCAGGGGTCGTTCTTGACCAGGAACTCGTCCAGGGCGATCCAGCCCCCGCCCACCCGCACCATGAGGGTGCTGCGCAGGATCCGCACCATCCGCAGCTGTTGGGACTCCCCGAACTGTGGGGGGAGGGACATCAGGGCCGGGTGGGGCCTGGGGGCTTCGGCAGGGCTGGGATTTGGGGTGCAGTACCAGCATCCAGACCTGCCCATCCCTGCGGCCCCTCGGTCCCTGCCAGCACCACCCTCCCACAGGGATCCCTGGGCCGTGGGGACGTGTCCCCTCCTTGCCACGGGACACGGGTGCTGCGGGACCCCTGCACAGGGCGGGCTGTGCACAGGGGTCGGACCAAGCCCGGACCCCACGGGTTGGCACTTACCCGGTACCTGTTGGCGCTGATCTGCTCCACCTGGAAGCGCTTGGCACAGTTGCACTGGGCCACCTGCCTGTTCACCTGCGGGACCACGCTCAGCTCAGCCCCAGGCGGGTCCCCCACCCTTCCATCCCCCCGCTCCGTCCCCCCCACACCTCATCCTGGATCTGGTCGGCGTCGGCGGAGCGGCGCAGGGGGTCCCGGTTGGGGTGCAGAGCACTGACGAACTCGTAGTAGTCGATGAAGCCGTCGCCGTTCATGTCGAAGATGGTGGCCACGGCGTTCATCTCCAGGACGTTGGTGGGGAACTCTGAGGGGGGACAGGGACCCTCAGCCCCCAGTGCCAGCCCCCCCATCACCCTGCAGCCCCCCCGGCACCCACTGGAGGCGAGGACGCCCTCGATGAACTCCCGCTGGCTGATGCGCCCGTCCTGGTCCCTGTCGATGCCGCGGAAAACGTCCAGGACACGGGACTTCATCTGGCTGATCCACTGCATGTAGCGCTTCCTCCAGACCCCAAAGTCGAAGTGCGCGAACTCCTCCAGCTTGGGGGGGCACAGACGGGGATCGACACACCGGCAGGACCCCCCCAAGCCCCTCTGTGCCAGCCAAGGTGACCCCTCTGTGCCCCACGCTCGGCTCAGATGCACGGCCTGGCTGCTCCCAGCCCTGCCGAGGCTGCAAGGGGGTCTCTGCCCAGGGCCCCAACTCTGGGGTACACGGGGGGCCCGGGCTCCAGCAGCCACTCTGCAGTGTCAGGGTGCACCCACCACGGGCACGGGGACCCCCAGCTGCAGGGATGGGGTCTGGGACCCACCAATCCCATCCACATCCGACCTGGGGCCAGGGGGTCCCATGGGCAGAAAGTGAGAGGAGCTGCCTGTACCCTCCAGGGCAGCGGGACCCCAGCGTGCCCTCACCTCCCACAGGAGAAGCTGCCTGGGACCCCAGAGCACCCCTACCTGCCTGTACCCCCCTGGGTAGCAGGACCCCCAGGGCACCCCTACCTCTTGGGGGAGAAGCTGCCCAGGCCCCCAAAATGCACCTACCTCCCATGAGAGGAGCTGCCCACAGCCCCCGGGCAGCAGGACCCCTGGGGTGCCCTCTCTCCCACAGGAGAAGCTGCCCGGGACCCCCAGTGCCCCCACCTCCCCTGGAAGAAGCT